CCCAAAGTGCTGGGATTACAGGCTTGAGCCACCGCGCCCGGCCAAAACCATCAGATCTTATGAGACAAATTCCAAGAACAAGAACAGCATGGAAAACCCCACCCCCATGATTCAATTACCTCCCACCAGGTCCCTCCCATGATACATGGGGATTATGGGAGTTAAAATTCAAGATGAGATTTGGGTGGAGACACAGCAGAACCACATCATTTTGCCCCTGACCCCTTTCAAATCTCATGTCCTTACATTTCAAAAGCAATCATGCCTTCCCAACAGCCCCACAAAGTGTTCACTCTTTTCAGCATCAACTCAAAAGTCCACAGTCCAAAGTCTCATTTGAGACAAGGCAAGTCCCTTTTACCTAAGAGCCTGTAAAATCAAACCAAGTGAGTTAATAGTACTTCCTAGATACAATGGGAGCACAGGCATTGAGTAAATACACCTGTTCTAAAGGGGAGAGATTGGCCACAATGAAGGGGCTATAGGACCCATGCAAGTCTGAAATCCATCAGGGCAATCAAATAGAAAAGCACCCAAATGATCTCCTTTGACAGCATGTCTTACATGCAGGTAACGCTGATGCAAGAGGTGTGTTCCCATGGTCTTCAGCAGCTCTGCCCCTGTAGCTTTGAAGGGTACAGCCCCCCTCCTAGCTGCTTTCACAGGCTAATGGTGAATGTCTGCTGCTTTTCCAGGCACATGGTGTAAGCTCTTACTGTATCTACCATTCTGGGGTCTGCAGGATGGTGGCCTTCTTCTCAGATTCATTAGGCAGTGCTCTAGTGGAGACTCTGTATGGGGGCGTCTACCCCACATTTTTCTTATACACTGCCTTAGCAAAGTTTCTCCATGAGGGCTCTTCCCCTGCAGCACACCTCTTCCTGGCCACCTAACCATCAAGGCATTTCCATACATCTTCTGAAATCTAGATGGAGATTCTTAAACCTCAATTCTTGACTTCTGTGGACCCGCAGGCCCAACACCATGTGTAAGCTGCTAAGTTCTGGGGCTTGTACCTATGAAGCAACAGCCTCAGCTGTATGTTGACTCATTTTAGCCATGGCAGGGACAAAGAGAGCCAAGTCCCAAGAGTGCACATAGCAGCGAGACTTTGGACTTGGCTCATAAAATCATTTTCTTCCTCCTAGATCTCCAGGCCTATGATGAGAGGGGCTGCTGTGAAGACCCCAAACATGCCCTGGCAATATTTTCCCCATTGTTTTGGCGATTAACATTTGCCTCCTCATTATTTATGTAAATATCTGCAGCCAGCTTAAGTTTCTGCTCCGAAAATGGGTTTTTCTTTTCTATTGCATTGTCAGGCTGCTAATTTTCCAACTTTTATGCTCTGCTTCTCTTTTAAACATAAGTTTCAATCTAAAATTCCATATCTTTTTGAATATATAAAACTGAATGCTTTTAAGAGCACCCCAATCACCTCTTGAATGCTTTACTGCTTAGAAATTTCTTGTGCCAGATACCCTAAATCAATTCTCTCAGGTTCAAAATTTGACAGATTTCTAGGGCAGGGGCAAAATGCCACCGGTCTGTTTGCTAAAACATAGCAAGAGTTACCTTTATTCCAGCTCCCAGTAAGTTCCTCATCTCCATCTGAGAACACCTCAGCCTGGACTTCATTATCTGTATCACTATCAGCATTTTTGTCAAAGCCACTCAATAAGTCTCTAGGAAGTTCCAAACTTTCCCACATTTTCCTGTCTTCTTCTGATCTTTCCAAACTGCTCCAACCTCTGCCTGTTACCCAGTTCCAAAGTTGCTTCCACATTTCAGGTATCCGTATAGCATTACCCGACTCTACCAGTACCAATTTACTGTATTATTCCATTTTCATACTGCTATGAAGAAATATCAAAGACTGGGTAATTTATAAAGAAAAAGAGGTTTAATGGACTCACAGTTCCACATGGCCAGGGAGTCTCAACATCATGGCAGAAGGCAAAAGAGAAGCAAAGTCACATCTTACATGGCAGCTGGCAATAGAGCATGTGCAAGGGGACTGCACTTTATAAAACCATAAGATCTCTTGAGGCTTATTCACTGTCACAAGAACAGCATGGGAAAAACACACCCTATGATTCAATTACCTCCCACCAGGTCCCTCCCATGACTTGTGGAGCTACAGTTCAAAATGAGATTTGGGTGAAGACCCAGCCAAACCACAGTACCCAACTCCCCGTATTTTTTTTTTTTTTTTTTTTAATAAGAACATGGTCATGTTAGATAAGGGCCTACCCTAATGATCTTATCTTTATTTATTCATCTGCAACGTCTCTATTTCCAACTAAGTTCACGTTTCACAGGTACTGGGGGCTAGGACTGGGGAACGCAATTCAATCCAGAACCTATGGAAATGATAGAAATACATAATGTGATGTTTTCTAGATATTTCATCAGTACCTGTGAATGTATGAAACAGGCAAAATTAGGTAGAATATGTTTTTATGTTTTAGTGTTCTACAATTTTCATCTTTGTTACACTTCCCTTCCTCTTCTCATTTAATTGAGTGCCAATCATCTGCTGTAAAGTATAAATATATAGATATACATACTTTTTAAAAACTACAAGGCACCAAGTTGGTAAGTTGGTAAGTTTCTGTATTTCAAAAGATATTTCTTTAAATTTGGGGAATCACAATTTGTAATTAAGATGATGATGTTCATACAGCTTTTATCTCAAATCTCAATTTTTTTTTCAATATATATTGACTAAATACTTTGTGATGTATTTTTTATTAGGGATATCTCATTGATGTTAGTGATATTACTTACATTCTATTATGGTTACCAATGTAGTGATTACTTAAGCCACCTACTTTATTTATTTTTATTTTTACTTTTTTTTCATTTTGAGACGGAGTCTTGCTCTGTCACCAGGCTGGAGTGTAGTGGTGCAGTCTCGGCTCACTGGAACCTCTGCCTCCTGAGTTCAAGTGATTGTCCTGCCTCCTCCTCCTGAGTAGCTGGGACTACAGGCACACACCTCCACGCCTGGCTAATTTTTTTTTTTTTTTTTTTGTATTTTTAGTAGAGCCGGGGTTTCACCGCGTTAACCAGGATGGTCTCCGTCTCCTGACCTCGTGATCCACCCACCTCGGCCTCCCAAAGTGCTGGGATTACAAGTGTGAACCACCATGCCCCGCCACCACTTAGTTTGTTTTAAAGTTGTATTTCTTTTACTTTTCTACAAATATTGACTGAAATCCACTATGTTGCAGAATTTTATTAGGTGCTAGCAAAACAATACAAAGACATTTCCCTCACAGAAATGTATATGCTCATAATGTGATATAATTTTTTTAAAAAAGAACTGAGAACATAATTTCAGATGGGGTGAATTTGATAAGGAAAATAACACGGAATAGAGGAAGAATGACTGTGCGGACGAGCTAGAGGACCAGAGTTAGTTTACATATAGTGTTCAAGAAAGTCCTCTCTTACAAGGTACCTTTTGGTGGAAACTGAAGCACACAAAGCTCTCTATGCCTTGTTTACAGGAAAAACCAAGAACTTTTGAACAAATATGATCACCTATTTTTAGTTTTATTAGATACATTAGTTTTTATTAAAACACATTTGTTAACACACATTTAGTTTTATTAACACACTTTATACACAAAGTAAAATGTGGGAAAAGGGTTTGTTTTTCCCAATGTGGAATGAAAGAGAATGATGTTTATACAATATGCCTGATGGTTAAAAGAGCCATCATTTCCTTTGTCTGTTTAGTGCAGGTCTGTCAGCTCAAGTAGGTAACTACAAGTTAATCCCAAATAAATATTCTCTTCTGTCTTTGCTTCCACTTTCTTATCCTCCATTGCTGTTTGGGTTTCTGAGGTGCTGGAGAGAAGCTCCGGCTGCTTGTTGGGAAATACTGTTGTTAACACCTCCGAGAACATCGGCTCTATTTTCTGTCAAGGTGGCACAATTCACACATCTTCAATTTACTTCATTATTTATTGTTTTGTAGAACAGTGACAGGATACTTGGCTCAGTTAAAAAAAAAAAAAAATAGAAAGCTGCTCTCTGCCCCAAGGACATGCAATTTAAGTTAGACAGTTCCGACATAAAACACAATGGCTGGAAACTGGTTCATTTTCAGAGTGAAAACAACTTGAGTTTTCATACTTGTTTGCTGAGGTTGGAAAGTTACTGTGAGTTATTTCTTAAAGAAAACAATAGATATGGAGAGACAGAAATGAAGAGATAGTGTTATCTTTACATCTTTATTGTTTATGTCTCAGACCAATTAGGAACTAAATTTTGTCTCTCTAGGTGTAACCCTGGAAACAAAATTCATGATGTAGCTTTGGAGGCACAACAGCATATGTAGATATTGCATTTGCTTACTGTAAGATGTAAAATAATTAAAATACATTCAGTTAGGTTAAGTCAAATTTAAAGCCAAATGCAACATGAGATTAAATAAATCTCATATTTAGGTGAAATATTTTCCTAGAGAGTATGAAAATTTTATGTCTATCAAATTAGTTATCCTAAAGCAATGGAGTAGAAATTATTGAAAACAAACCTGAGACCATAATATTACTATGAAAGAGTAAAACCTGTTGAAAACTCTAGATTTAAAAATAATTGGGGCTAAGAATACAAATACCTCTGTATTATAACGAGCCGATTTATGCATACTAAATCTATATATTTGCATATATCTTTGCAACATATATCTTTGCAAAGAAGTGACAGAGAGATTCTTCAGAGAAGAAATGATTTTCAATAATGAGTTGCTCCCCAAATTTTCACCGATGAAAGCCAGATTCTCTTGAAATTTTTAGAGGGCTCTCTCCATCACAACTGCATATTACTATGTATATTTCACCAAGAAATTTACGTCTCACTATGAATTGCTTAAATCAAACAACTGGGCTATTTAGATTGCTTAGTTTTCCGGTGAATGAATGAAGAATGAGTGAATCCTCTTATGAATGAAGTTTGGATGACAGTAATGAAAGATATACCAGTATTTCAGGGTCAGGGTCCTTCACTGGAGAGCAGTTTTTAGGTGCCATTACAGACGTGGCATGGATGAACAAAACAAAATGTTGTGGCATTTGGGCTCCTAAAGAGTAGGACAGATTAATGAGAAAGAATGGTTAGAAAAACCCTGAGAAAAAAGTGACTGAATATGAATTTTATTGACAAATTTTTGTATGCCATCAAAAATGCCATGTCTTTAATTATAAGAAAGGTTTGCCAATGTTTTGGTTATATATTTGTCACTTACCTTTTCAAACTGTCCTAAAGGAAGAGACAGAAAAATGATCACACTAATCTGCCTTACTCAGCTTGGGCCACTAGGAATTAAAATTGTAGAATCTAAAGAGACAGAGAAACAAATAAGTAATTTAATTCCCAAGCTCCCAAAGCTCATATTGTTTCCAATCATTCAGTGGATTTTATTCATTATGTTTATTCCACTGTAAAATTAGATTTACAAAGAAATACATAATTCTTTGTATTTGCTATTGGTCATAAATCTTTAGAACAAGCTTAAATTACAGTTATTTAAATCTATGCTTCGTGACCACATTTACAGGGTTTTTTTCCCCCAATACTTAGTTAATATTACATAGCCAAATACTTATTAAGATTGATTTTGTTGTGAAGCTAAGTATAGGTTGCCTTCAAATTATATTGGGGAGGTATAGTAATGTATAACACAATTCTGTGCATAGTACTAGATGTATATTTAAGATGTCAGGAATAAATTATGTATTTAGGGGAGTAAAATGGTGGTGGTCCTCTATGTCAAAAAAGATCAAGTTCCATTATGGCCACTTGTTTGTGTAGACAGAGCCTAGAAAGATTTTGTAATTCAAAAGGAGTTATAAAAGCTACTAAGTAATAAAACATGATAATTTTGGAGTTCTTAACCTATGATTCATCAGCTCCACTAGGTCCATGGGTCTAGGTATATTACTTGCAGGTTTCTGTGTTCATTTGCATATTGCTGGAGGGATTTCAATAGATTCTCAAAAGGCACTGAGAGAAAAAGCAAGGAAATAAAATTTTAAGATTGTGTAAACATCCATTCTATAAAACTTTATTTCAGCATATTTATATTTCCATTACTATGGATGTTTTATAAAATATCCAAATGTTTAGAAATAACAAGACTCTCATAAATAATAATTTGTGATTGGAAAGAGTGTGTCACAGGAATGACACACTCTCAACTAACTTCCTTTCTCTCCATCCCTCTCTCCTTCCAGCCTTTCCTTCCCTTCCTTCTTCCATAATCCTCAAACCAGGGACTATCTTAGGCGCAGGCATTTTGTGTCCACCCTTAGATCCATATCACCAGATTTTTTATCTCCCTTTCTTTTCTTAACATGCTCTGTTTACATTTTTAGATTAAATGTGCTGACAGTGACTCTACGAGTTCTAAAATGTGATGTCCCTAAATAAATTATTTCTATTTCAAATCTAAGGCTAGCATTACAGATTCTTTTTTTCTGTCTTAACGCCATATTTATTTGATACAGAAAATATTTAGGCTTTATTTTACTTAAATATAAAAGAGGAGGAGAGTGATAAAATAACCTACTTCAGAGAGTTGGTAAGACAAATATAACTGTTAATATATTTTATATATTCAAATACTTTTGCCTGATACCTCAAATATAGCAAGTCAAAGCATTAACAATACATGTCAGCCATTATAATGAAGTAATTAATGGAAGGTGAAAATCTCTGATTCTCACAATATTCTATTTTGAACCAGTGTTAATAACAATACAGTATTTCTGACACATTGTAGAACAATCCTTCTGGAAACTCATTCTGGAATTGCCCAGGATAGTGCAACAAAATTATTGGACTATTTTGTTATGGTACAGAAATATGTATTGTCTCCTTTTAGGTAGTTTAAAGAGAAATACCTATCTTTTAACTTACCTCTCGCATTTCTACAATAGGGTGACCTTACAGAGCTTCTGGCAAAATAGCTTCATGAGGCTGCTTTGAGGGCATCTGAAATATGGGGAGGAAGAAAAAAAAAGAAAACAGAATATCAGAGCCAGGTAGATGAATCTGTGGCATGAGGAGCAAATGGGACTTTGAGCCAGCTGGAATCGCAACCAGACATCCAGCAGAATGCCATCTGGCCTGGGCACCAGGACTTCCCTTGCTGCCTGGGCACCATGGAGTGTCCCTGGGCCCTCTACCTAGTCTGGTCTTCTGGCATCACCTCTCCACTCTAGCCAAAAGCCAGTTCCACATTTGACCTGCTCTGTTTTCCAGCTCTGGCTTCTGGATGTGCCCCTGTTGCCATGACTACCAGTCCTTGGTTTTGACTAAGCCTGGCTTCTGGTCACGGCTCTTACACTCACACACAGTGGTGTGCTCAGTTCTTAGCCTTGGATTCATTTGCAACAGTATCTGTGCACTTGCTTCAGGCCTCTAAGTCAGCTGTAACCTCCTGAGTTTCACCCAAGGTCTCAAAAATGGGCCTGAAGGAGAAATCTTTGACTTGAGTATTTGAGGCTATTTGGATCCTGTCTATGTCCCTCTTTAGTGGATTGTTTTGGAAAATCATTTCATTACTTACTCTTATTGAAGAATAATTTCCTACCCTAATCTAATATTGCTCAAAACCATAAGTAAACTAATCTTTCCAGTGTGTATTTACTCTTCTGTGAAGGATGCAAATGTTAGTCTGAAAAAAAACCTCAATAATTAAATTCAAAAATTATACGGAGCTCATACAATGGGAAAGCATGTGCAGAGGACAGCACAGGATATAAGATAACCACATTAAAAAATAGACTACATGACTACATCAGGTGCTGCAGAGAGAGAATACAAAATAATATCATAGGCAAAGCAAAGCAAGTTAATAAGTTACAGAAACAATGTATATTGGAGGCATCAAGGAAGTCCTCCTTGTTCAGGCAGAATTTAATATGGCCCTTCATGAACTAACAGGATTTGGTCAGAAAGTTGGGAAATATGTGCACCTAATAGGGTAAGAAAACAATAAGGGAAAAAACATAGGATTGGTTAAATATGGAATGTCATTAGAGGAGTCCTTAGCCTTCTGGTCGGGTGCAGTGGCTCACTCCTATAATCCCAGCACTTTGGGAGGCTGAGACGGGTGGATCACCTGAGGTCAGGAGTTCAAGACCAGCCTGGCCAATATGGTGAGACCCTGTCTATATTAAAAATACAAAAATTAGGTGGGTGTGGTGGTGGGCCCCTGTCATTCCAGCTACTCGGGAGGCTAAGGCAGGAGAATAGCTTGAACCTGGGTGGTAGAAATTGTAGTGAGCCAAGATTGTACTTTTGCCTTCCGGCTGGAGCAACAAGAGTGACACTCCATCTTAAAAAAAGATAGAAATCAAGAAAGAAATATTCTTAGTCTTCTAGTTTGGCAAAAGGATATTATTGGTATAGGAAATTAATAGGAGTACAGTGTTGATTGTTAAGCCGGGTTTTTCCACTGAGGGCTTCAAAGTTTGTGTAAACAGACTACATTTTATTATGCAGGGACTGGCAGGATAGGTGTGTCCATAGAGTGGACACGTACAAGCTAAAAATGTTTAAACTATGGATGTTTCTCTAAGGAGTTTATTGTACATGGAGAATATAGATCATAGCTTAAAGGAGGAATAAGTCGCATTTTTCTTTTTAAGAAAATAAACTGTGAATTTTTGTCTTGAATTCATATGTTTCTAGGATTCATACTGTTGCAAGTGTGCTGTTGTCTACAGTGCTTTCTAAACTTGATTACGTATCAGAATCATGTGAACAACTCCTTAATTCTTATTCATAATCATTAGTATTCGGTGAGGTGTTTGAATATTTGTTTTGAAAAAAAAGGCACATTGCTGTTTGGGAAGAGATGTGAAAATTGCTGATTATGATACAAGAGTGTCCATGTTCAACCTCCAGCTTTCCTGGAAGTCCTAACAAACTGCTATTAATGCTCTCTTAATCTGTTGACATTGCTATAAGCTATTTTAAGGGAAACTAATAAAGTGAATGTCTTATTTGTACATATCCCAAGACAGATAAATAGCATAATTTTTTAAGTAGGCAGGCAAATTTTTCAGAAGGAAATTTCAATAAAATAAATCTTGGATATGATTGGAAATACTTTTCTTATTTGTTGGATGGAAATTATTGTAGGCCAATTAATATATATCACACTTTGTATATGGCTAAAGGGCAAGTAAACTTATCCCACAGTGGTCTGGCAGGCTGGTTTCAGTGTGTCCTGCTAGCAGAATTCTAGTTGAAAGTCTGTAGTTCCTTTTTTATCTTCCTCCAAGCTCCATGATGCTCAGCCAAGCAAGAAGCTCCAATTGCCTTCAAAGATGACTCTTCACTTGAATGAGCACTGTGGGGTGCAGAGGAAGATGAGAGCCTGGCCTTGTGTAAGAAGATTTAACATATGCCTCATTTTAGATCAGGCTCTATCCGAAAAGGATTCCATGAAACCTTCAAGGCATGTATACATCTCTGATTCACAAGAGGAAATTATGAATTACAGAGTAAATCTGAGTGAACCTTATATTTGAAAGAAACTTAGGATATTTGGATTTTTAAAAAGTAAAGATTAACTAGAGTAAAGATTAATTTTTATATCTAGAATCTCTACATGTGTCAAGTTCAGACGTCAGGAGATACCATAGTAATTTACAGGTCATTAGTGTCAAGGCATATGCAGATAAACACATAAAGACATCCATCTCTTTGAAAATATAATTAGCATTATTTTAGAGCATAGATCACTTTTCTATGTTAGAAAATATATTTATTGCATAGTCATAAAAACCCTCATGTTTATTTCTCAAATCTTTTTGTCACTGACTTCAAAAGATAATATATGTCTATTCCCTAAGGCCTTCTCAGAAAGTGCTAATTTAGCAGCATTTTTCTCTTAGGCTGTCATGTTCTGCCCAGAATTTTTTGCTCTGATATTTGGAAGCATCCTGCTGCATTTAAGCTACAGAATAAATATTAATGGTGAAAGGGACTTATTTTATTTTGCTTTGGATAAATATACACTTTTGATTTGAAGTATCCAGGACATCAATCTTATAAATAGAGTAAATGAGAAATCTGCCCCCAAACACTTGTGAAATGTCATGAGCCAATTATCAAGTCCACAACCTAAACAGGAACATGACAATTTACTTGTATTTTTGTTTATCCCCCTTTACATCAAGTAGTCTGTGTTACTATTCTCCTATAAAGACTATTTTTTCATCCTCTTAATTGGGAAAGAAGTAAAACAATATGATATTGAGTTGTCATTTATATATCTACATTGTTATTTCTTTTTAAAACTATAAGGGAACTCTTGTTCTTGCAAGGTTATAGAAAATAATACAGACAACTAGAAATCTATGATAGAAGTGTTTCAATTCAAAAATACTTATGTCTTATCTACTCATTCACTTTCTTGTAATTTTAATTACTAAATCTCTTATAACATACCATGTTTTAAAACTGAAATATTCAGGCCTTACTTTCTTGTCTTATCTTATTTTCCCTTGAACGAGAGTTATTAACTATGAATAAAACAGACCAGAACCCTACACCACCAAATCCTTATGTTACCCATTCTTCCTTCATTCGCCCATCCATCCTTTTCCCACACAGTTCTTCAAATCTTTCTGAGAATCTGCTCCATGCTAGTTTTTATGGTGGATACTGGATATTCAATGTCTTGGACAATTAATAGAAATAGGAAGAATTGTTTAGTTGTTTGATATTTAAGTCTTATTTTCTATACTGATTTTTGAATCTTTTGTATGACTTTTTTTTTTTTTTTTTTGAGACAGTTTCACTCTTATTGTCCAGGCTGGAGTGCAGTGACGTGATCTTGGCTCACTGCAACCTCCACCGCCCGGGTTCAAGTGATTCTCCTGCCACAGCCTCTCAAGTATCTGGGATTACAGGCGTGTGCCACCACACCCGGATAATTTTGTATTTTTAGTAGAGACGCGGTTTCTCCATGTTGGTCAGGCTGGTCTTGAACTCCCGACCTTAGGTGATCTGCCCACCTCAGCCTCCCAAAATGGTACTATTATAGGCGTGAGCCACTGTGCCCAGCCTTATGTGACGTTCTTTATGTTCTCATCTTTTATATGCTTGACATTTTCTTTCAATGTTGGCAGCTACACTGAAGCAATTAAAGTTACTGAGGCTTTCTTATCCCACTTCCTATCACACACACACATACACATGTACTCACAAACAATAATTTTTCATCATGTCACAACTTCAAACAAATGTAACACTGAGAATCTGAGTATGTCACAATATTAAACTGTGGGAAAGTCAGCCTAAGTTATTTTACTGGTTTATTATAGTGATGATTTCGTAAAGCATGGATGTGTTAATGAAGGCCCAAAGGCTATGATATTATAACTCCAGAACTTTATGATTATAAATACAAATTGACTAGAAAATGCAGCTTCTTTAAAGTTCACTCTTCTCTCTTTATCCGTAGCATATTTAAAAGTTCGTCATATAGTTCCATTGCTCCACATATAGGCTTTGTCTTCCTGTTTCAGATTGTTTATCTGTGCTTGTGTTTATTTGGTTTATGATCAACCTAATTGTACATGTGTGCTGATAAAATTTTGTGAATTTTATCCATATATTATTTCCAACTTTTCATTGGATTAGCAGCAAATTGTGGTCTAAGGATTGATTCAACTATGATTTCATGGTCTAATCCAGATAAACAAGGGCATACCTCAGGGGACCTCTCAGTGGTAAAGCAATTTTAATTAGTAAATGATCCTGAAGCTGCACACTGAAAACAACTATTACTCAGCAAACAATATTGGTGCTGCCAGTCAGAGTTCTCATTCACAGCTTGTGAAAAGGCAGGATGCTTTGGGGAAGAGCTGATGAGGGGTAATGAGAAGTGTCACTTAAAGTTAGCAAAGATCAAAGTGAAGGACACTCATCCTCCTAGCACTAGAACTCATATCAGAGTGTCAGGTTTCTGAGTTATCTCAATTCTGCAGTTCTAGCAAGGGAAAGGAAAATGCTCAGCAAACTTTCTATAAGAAATAAGATTCGTCATCATGAAATTCTTAGTTAATAAAGGAAACAGGAAATGGTGGCATAATAATGGCTGTTGCTAAACTAGCATGTCACCAAATCAAAATTCTTAAAAAGAAAATGAAATGTAAAGATTCATACCTGGGATTGATTATTTCAACTCTTTTGTTTCTAAATATCAAATTATTAAATTATGATATTTAAATCGATATCCTCACTTCTATTTTCTTTCTGTATTCCTTATGAATTATGTTTTAGATT